GAATTGTCTTAAAACATGCATGTACCTTTTGAAAATTTGAAATCGGACGACTCCCGCCATTCCCTTCTCCTCTTGCTGCCAACTAAACGCGTGCCTATTTAGTTATTTGTGTTCCTAGATAATTAGAAAAATAAAATTATATAATGCTCTTGAGGTAATGTCTGTTACTTCTAAGCACACCAAAATGGTATATTAGATGTTAAAGGGGTTTGCCAAGGTTTGCCGCTGGCAGCGCTGGTCGTAGGGTGTCCACTTGGTTGCACATCCGGTCCCATCTCTACCACCAAATCAAACATTACTGACGACGTCCGACACGTCACCGCCGGTTTTCTGCCACCGCGACGCTTGTCGGCTGTAGCGGTTGCTGGTGCACCTCTTTCAACGTCCTACTGTGGGTCACTTCAACACTCAAGTTAACCGTTCATAGCAGAACAGATTCTCAACATGTCCAACAAAAGCAAAGCTTTCACCAGGGAGGAGGAATTACTTCTCCAGGATTTCAGCAGAAATGTATCAACCAAGTCGTCTGCTCTTTTCTACGGAAACGCTTTCATCGTTTCTGCCATTCCCATCTGTAAGCATCTTTTAGTGACTTCTGTGGTATCTTCTCTCATTTTCTGAATTAATTTTCTCATGCTGGCTTTTTAATGAATCCCAAAGCTTGAATTACATTCTTTATCGGCTTTTACTATTACATGTTTAACCTACATTATATGTGAGGAGTATAATATATGTTGGGTGTTGTCGCCTGTTTCTCAAGCATATTGCGATCATCTCATTTAGTTTTCTCTCATTGTACTTTCTTATTTCTTCTTTATAACTGTTGATCTCAAGCTCATTTTAATTTTCAGGGCTTTTCTGGAGAATTCATATGATTGACCTGTACTCCTCCCTGATCTCATTTGTTGTTGTAACACTCATTAGCACCTACCTTGTTGCATTTGCATACAAGAACACCAAATTTGTTTTAAAACATAAGGTAAGAATAAACTTTGTTCAAACATAACTGATAGCAGTTCTTGGTGCCTGTAACTGAACAGTTCCTTGGATGGTTTCTGTTTTTTTTTTGTCTAGGTGGCAGTGAAACGCGAAGATGCAGTTACTCGTGAGATGACCAAAAAGTTGGCTGAAGACAAGAAGATGAGCAAGAAGGAGAAAGATGAAAGGTAAATCTTGTGTAGTGCAATGCACACTCATAGCTTTACCCACTGAAAACTCAGTTGCTATATAAAGAGCTAAACCGGTGCCGAGCGCAAATCTATTTTAACAGGTAGATGAGGAGGTGCAGGACTCGGAAAATGCACTTGAACCCTGTTATACAAGACATTAGGCTTGTTAATATGTCTTGTTTTCAAAGTCCTGTACCATCCTTTCTACACTTTATAAATTTACACTGTTGCCACAACTCTGGAAAACTTTGAAAACCTGCAAAACTTAGGGAAATAAAAAACACTCAGAAAAATCAGGAAAAATGGAAATTGAAAAAAAAAAGGCAAGGAAATTTGTTCTGTTAGGTCCCCAAACTGCACCCAATTCGCTCTTAAGGTCAAACACACATTTGATGTCCCAGCAGGGGTGCTTTGACCCCCAAAAAATCTGTGCTTGCGGTCTTATTCTACAGTAGGACTAGGGGCTAAGGCAAGCACGCTAAAATGCTTAGATGTGGGGGTATTTGTTTTCCCCTGTAATTCACCAGGGACGGTGCTTAAAACTCATGGAAATTTGGGGGAAAGGGTCTAGAAATCAGGGAAAATGGGAATAAAGATTTTGTGGCAACCATGTAAATGTGCATTTTGCTGTAATTTCGAACTTGACTCTGTTGCGGTTTTGTTTCTTTATTGTTTATGTTACGGTCCAACCCCAAACATATCTAGCTGAAGACGTTTTGCTTGGTTATCATTAGTTAATCAAAACATTCTTCATTTCAGAATTCTGTGGAAGAAAAATGAAGTTGCTGATTATGAAGCTACTACGTTCTCCATATTCTACAACAATGCGTTGTTTTTGGCTATTGTCATTTTTGCCAGCTTTTATGTCCTGAAATCTTTCACCCCCGCCTTCAATTACATCTTATCTGTTGGAGTTGCTGGTGGCCTCTTGGCTCTTCTTTCAACTGGTACCCAGTAAAAAGAAAATAATTTATACAAGACTGGGGGTTCTTCTAAGAAAAACCTTACATGTTTGTGAAATATTTATGTTATGAATTTTTTGATATTAAATCTAAAAACAAAGAAATGTTTTTTTTTATTTTACTTTATTAGCTAATAGAAACAAAACGTGGTCAAACAATGTTGAATCTGCTCATGATGTTGTCAATAAAAAGCACACACTAAACATAATCTTTATGTTCAAATAATGCACTCATGTCAATCAGGAAAGCACACTAAACATGTTCAAATAATTGAGAATGCACCCATGACAACAGTACAGCACACTTTGCACAATCACTCCAGTGCCACTCCCTTCACAAGCCCACATTCAGTGTAAATAGATTGAGAAAACAAAATTTGCAGGAGTGACTCATACCAAAGTGGTACACTTAAAATATCAAATATATAAAAAAAAAAATAACATAAAATAAAATTTAATCTCAAAAGTTGGTTGAGGAGGTTTGCTCTAATCAGCATATACCACCCCATAACTTTTCAATGCATTTTTAGCACAAATCTTCTTAGCTAACTTCTTCTTAGAGGCTGTAAATTAAATTTTTATGAATAAGAGAAAAAGTGGGAGACAACAAATTTTGACTCATCACACTTTCTAGGAAGAAAGGATTACAAAAACCAATTTGCATACCTGATCCAGAGAATGATTGACCATTGAACTCAACAGTCAGAGTGAATACCGTGGAACCATCTCTAACATCCCTTTCAAGTTCAGTAAATTTAGAAAAAGGACTGATTTGATTAAGCAGCATAACTGGATCAATTTCACTTGGGTTAGGAGGTAATTTGCCGAGCGCCCCTACATTTATTTGTGGTTGTGGTTGTATGGGAAACTGGTAACAAAGAGAATTAAACATTTGTGAGTACAAATTAACAATGAAGAGATGCGAAGAAAATGAAATCAACTGGTTTACGAACATACCTGATTGAAGGCCGATAGAGCTGGGATGGATTCTGAACTGATTGAATGACCAGAGCTTTTCATATCTGCGTTTTGCCAAAGGTTCACCAATTTAAACATGGCAAAAGACGCGAGTGAACTCCAAGGGGTATCATCCTCAGGGATAGTCTGCGGTTTGGGATCAGCCTGTAACGAGAACAAACACAGATAAGAACACCAAGATGGTAGCGATAACAAACAACAAAAGCTAAAAATGTTTGTGGCAAAATCCCTATAACAAAGGGGAAAGCAATGTGACTTACCGGTACATCAGTTTTAACAGATGTTTGATTCACATCTTTCATTTCAACATCTCCATCTGCAAGAGTGATGTAATAAAGTAAAAATTAGTTTTAAATTTAGTCACCTGAGAGTGGGGTACACTACTTACTGGTGCAACAGATGTAGTACTGATAAAAATAAAAGGTGCAACTGGCGTGCACATGGAAGTGCTCAACACTATGTTACACACTTTGCAGTGTTTGACAGGATGTTTGAATACTGAAAAGAGTGTAACAGTAAAGTTAAACTCTTTAAAGTGTTCAACTGCAGGATTGGCCAACAGTGCCTCCAAACCCAAACGAGCTTCCTGGAGCGGGCTCCTTCGCTTTAGCTCCCAAAAGCACCAGCCTGCACGACCCCGCTAGGCTTTTTCAAAACTAAAATTTGGATATACATTTCAATTAAACTGCATTTTGACCTCCACAGACCTTACCAACGGAAACCATTCTTGAGATCTGTCATGGCAAAAATGCAATTTAATTGGAATTTATAACCAAATTTTAGGTTTGATAAAGCCTTGTGGACTCAAGCGGACAGATCACTTGGGAGGTTAAACAAAGGAGCCCACACCAGGAAGCCCGTATGGAGGTACTGTTGGCCATGAAGCTCTAGACACCTTAAGGTGAGAAAATTTACAGATAAACATTCAGGAGTATTAAAATTACCAGTCTAACATCAAAACATGTGCACCATGGCATTGAACACTACCATGAGTATGCCAGTTGCACACTTTTTATTGTTAGTGTGAGAAACATAGAATTCATATGCCCTTACCATCTTTCTTCATAAGCTGGTCAACCAATTTATCAAAAAAGAGTCCTTTCAAAGCATTTTCTGCTGCATCCTGTTGTGCTTGTTTCTTGCTGATGCCTTGGCCTGAGAAAGTCCTCCCATCTATCTGTTATTGAAAAATAATAATAAAAAATGATGGTCTTGTGTCTTAATTATCACACAAAATTAAGATAGGGAGTTGTTGTGGACAATGAATTTGAATTACCTCAACGCTAGCTATGAAATTTGGCTGGCTGCTCCCATTAGACTTGTCAAGGATAGTAAAGGGAAGGCCAGGCTTCAACTCATTGAGAACCATCAACGGGTTCTTTGGAGCAAGTAGTTTTTTAGCTTGATAGTTCTTTCGGCGACGTTTAACATCTGGAGCAACTTTTGCTGTGGACACATAAATTAAAGTGAAAATGTTAAAGAATGCATTTGAAGTTTTTCATTTTTACTAGGGAGGAGGAGTTACTACTCCAGCATTTCAGCAGAAGAGTATCAATACTTACTGATTGGTGCACCAGGTCGTTTCATCCAAGGTTTTCGAATTGCTGCATCACTTCCGTCACTATTTTCAGTTTCAACGCTATCCATCTTCAGCCCTGGTAGATTTTGAGACTGCTGATAGAAAGGGTTCATGTTCATACCTAAACTGACCATTGAAGACTGATCCATCACTAAAAAACAAAAAAAAAATCATATTTAGTTTATTTCACGCTTTTGGTTGCATTATTGATGTAACTGCTAGTTTAATTGTCAAGACATTTCGTAAACCTACAAAAGAAATAAAACTAAACACATAAATCAGAAATCACGCTGGTCAATAAAAAAACACCTAGTGCTACCAGCCTTGCAATAGTAGTAATAATAATAATAATAAAAGACAACTATATTTTTCTCGTATACCGGCTGAAAACTGTCAGAGGCTATGGGGGCACAGAGCAGAAACCATGTAACAAAAACAGCTCACCCAAAATTGTAATATTTCAATTCGTGCAAGATGCCTGGGCTAAGACGATGGATACTTATATTTACTACGCTCACCGATTCTCAAATGCGGGATTACAGTGGAACTGCACAATTTAACTGTGAAAAATATCGTCAAGAACAAGCAGCCATCAAAACATTAAGGAAGAATGTAGACACAGGATGCAGAATGCAGATGCAGATACCTGAGTCAGGTCTGACACGTCCTCAAAACTATTTTTTCCCCCTTTCTGAATCCAATCGCTTCCATTTATCCAATAATATGCGCATACCAATATTTATAAGAACGAAATTAAATTGCTCTCTTACGTTTCCAATCGAAAATATATGCTACTTTTGTCTCTTACAGACTGAAAAGGGAATAGCTGGATCTTCTTTATGTCGGCTAAACTGGCCAAGAAGCGCGTGATTTGAAAATGTATATTTCCTTTTTGTAGCATGGTGCATGCATCCGCCTTGTATGTTATTTACTGAAATGAAGAATGGGCAGCTTATATTGTATGATCAATCTAACTCGATTTTACAGAAAATTTGTGTTTTCACATTAAATACACTCATTTTCCATCTGCCCAATAAGGTATCCCCCTCGCCCTGCACCCACCTCCCCGCTCAAAAAAAAATGTCCAGCGTGCGAAAGGTCAAAAAGATGCTTGCGTGCGACATATATGTGAACATTTTCGCCCAGTACTTCAATTTTACGTGAGTTTCTTTCATAAGAGTCTACTAACTCATACATCCAGCGATCCAGCGAAACTTTCAGGCTAGGACCTGTAAGCGAGAAGACGGTCATTCCCGAGGTTGGTAGCAGTGCCCGCATTATTTAGTTCGGTTCGGTTTCGTGGGGGACAAGGATGATGAGTGCTTGTACACAGTGTTGACGTTTGATTTTGCAGTCCGATATATTTCGCCGCAGCTTTTGCAAACTCGAGAACTGTAATTTCGCGCTTGCCGTCTCCTCGGGGAAACGTCGGCATCAACGTTGGGCTATCCCTGACGTTTCCTTTGGTGAGTTAAAATGTCTGCTGTCGTCGAGGCTTGCTTAGATCTTTTGTTATTGTGTGTTCTCCACCGTTCTATGAAATGAAAGCGCTGCTCTTGCACTGGGGTTTACTTGTACGACAGCTTAAGTTTTCGTCAAAGCCCGTACATTGTGTACTTGCACAGGTTATCTGTCAGAACCGGACTGACTGGTGTCCTTGTTCTAACCTATACGGTCGGTCCAAGACATGAAGGGCAGCACAATGTCTGAGCTGCATATGATTAGCAACAAATTCCGCTCGGAAACGCTATTCTCGCTGCAAAACTAAAAGCCGGTCGATGACCTTACCTATGTATCTCTATTGTACTAGGTGATGTTTATATTGGTCTTGTTCAGATATGTTTTCTCATCTATCTGGCTAATTTGACCAGGAACCATCCACTTCACCTATTGAGTAATTTTGTGGAAACTCCCCCACAAAATTGTGAGCATTACGTCTTTTGATAAATGTTTAATTCCACAAAAAATTAAATATCACTTCACATCTATTTCAGGCAAATTGTTGTAGAATTTCTTGTTTAGTGTAGCAAGGTGTTCTCGTTTATTGTTGATGATAGTTCTTTTATTTTAGACCTCTATGGATAAATGTGTAATTAAATTTCACATTTTTTCCATTAAAAAAAAACTCTAACAATAATTTGTTTTGGAACATGTAGAAACAATCATGTATTTTTCAAGCATTAAAATATTTTTGAGACTGATATTTTCAGTTGTCATACTGCTGATTATTTTTCTCCACTTTATAATTTTTGATCTAAGGTGTGTTGGCTGGAAAAATGGAATTTAGCTCCAGCTAAGCCTTTAGTCTTATCGTAGTTACTTTTGTTGCTTCTAATGGCTTAACTATGTGAGAAACACATCACTAGGCACATTTTAAGTCCTAAATGGCACCTGTTGGCAGGAATTCCAAAGTCTAATGCATCTCAAGCTCTTTTATCTCTCTTTTGAACAAGAAACACAGTAGTCGTGACTGACCCACGATACTTTAGCTTTCTCTTGGGGGCCAGGAGTCCTTAAAAATTTGAAGGCCGTAGTTGCATGCTGTTTATGATAAGTTTGAGTGGTTCAACAACCAAGATTCTTCTTAGTTATCACCTTCACTCATAGAATTATTATGTTGCAAATCTTTAAAGAAACCTTCACAACCAACTTCCAATGCCTCTTTTATTGGGTGTGGTAGACAAGGCGGCTCTCCATTCAGCAAATGAATGGTTGACGCAGTCAGGCCTCGCCCGGCCCGGCTTGGCCCCGACGTGGACTGCTGATGTGCCCTGCTGAGTCGGGTCATGGGCATGGCAGGGCAGGGCAGGGCAGGGCACATCAGGGTGGGCAGCAGGACCAGCAGGGCAGTACTGTGCGGGGGCCTGCCTTAGGGCCGAGCTCCCAAGCGAGCTATCGCCCATAACTCCATGGCTGCCGCTGCTGTCTCTACCCCGCGCGGTGGGCGGGAGACGGACGCGCTTGGGACGTCGTCCGCTAGATGGCGCTCGTGTGCATCGACCGGACGGCTCGGGGCGGCGGCTTTTCTTTTGTCCGTCCTCCTGTCCTTCCCTCCTCAGCGTACCCACACTACTCTCTCCTGGTATGAATTTAATCATCAACGCACTTTTTCGTGCGTTTTGGGTCTTGAGCTCATTTGGCAGGCGTATATCTTGTAACTTTTCTCGGCTTGTTTCGCGATTTGAGATTTTGCCGCTCAGGGACGGAACGAAGCGCTCAGGGAAGACCTGGTTTCGCCAGTCACGGTCTGCCCCACATCGCGAATTATAGCTTTATTTTTCTCTCTCTATCTGAGTATCGTCTAAGCAGGACAGACGAGAAGGGCGCGCGCATTTAACGTTTGTCGAGAGGAAAGTGGAGGAGGGTGGCACCATAAGGCACCGTAGGGCACCGTAGGGCACCCGGGCCATCAGTCTCCTCGTCCAAGGGCACGGCCCGGGGGACGTACTCGGAGTAAGAGGGGGCGGCAAAGGGCCGTGTCGAGGGACACGGTAGAGACCCCCCTCCTCTAGTGCGCACAAGCTCTCCCGGGCGCCCGGGAGGGGAGGGGGTGGTGTAACCCTGGACACACTCTGCCATGCGGCAGTCGAATCCTTGACCGGTTTCACCCGCAGCACCAGCATACCATGGGGCGCATAGGGAGGCCAGGCGGGAGAGGGGGGGGGGGTGACCTACCCGTCGCGGCGGGGCGGGGCACGGCACAGGGGGCTGGCTGGGCTAAGCCGAGCTGGGAGGCGGGGCGGGGCGGGGCTCGGGGCGCGGTGGGGTGCGGGTGGGCGGTCGCTGACCCATTTCCGCTGACAACTCAAACCGAACCGCACAGCACTCGCGGAGTAGCGGCGGCAACGCGCGGGGCGCGCCCGCACCGTGCTCGGCGGCGCCACCCCCTGGTGGCCTTGTCCCTCCCCGTGCTGTAACTACCCGCTTGGCCCGGCTCCCCCCCGCGCTGGGGCCGGGGCCGGGGCCGGGGTCACCCCTGCCGATTGGGCCTGGGGCTCTACCGCCCCACTCGACCCGCTCCGCTCGCCCCGCCCCGCCCCGGGCTTATC